AAAAAAAAAAGTTAGCCGAGTGTGTTGTTTTCCCTCTAGCCCAATAGACAGTTTATTTCTTTAGAAAGTTGTACATTTAGCGAGTAGAGGAAATAGAAGTCCAGTGAAATAATAAACCCTCCACAAGATTCGGACTCGCCAAGCCACGGACAGCATTTTAACGACCCCTGGCATCATAGGTATAAATAAATATCTCCTTCTTTCCTTCTATCCTATGTGCTAGAAATATCTCTTTAAAAGGTCCAGCTAAGGTTACGAGGCTTCAGGGACCCTGTCTTGGCTACTGATTTCAGTAATTAAAAAAATAAAAACAAGATGCATCCTTGGTCCATGTGAGCACCAGCGCGGGGCTGAGAGCGAGGCGCCCTCCCCAGAACAGGAGGGCGGAGCCTGGCACCACCACCTCGTGGTCCTCTCTGCCACAGACACTTCACTGTGGACCAATGCAGCGTGGGCCAATTAGGCTGTTTACAAAACACAGTTGATTGGCAATCTAACATAGATTTTCATCTTCTCAGTGTGTGCTGGGGCGCCCTGCCCGCAAAGTTAGGAAAACAACTTACAAAACCCTCCCACAGGTGTCATCTTTGATCATTTCTTGCTATCAGTTTGCCCTCTGACGGAGCTGCCCCAGGAGACTGACACTGATTGCCTTTGGCGATTGTGGGCCTCTGGGGGCTTTGACCTGAGTTTCCCCTAGGTTAGGAGCAGCCCCATAACAGCAACACCAGCGATGGAGGAGGGGCTGAGCAGTCAGGGCCCCCCCCGCCGGGCTTGTGCTGCTGGCTTGTGAGCAGCCTCTGACAATGACCCACCAAATGGCTTTGTCCCTGTGGGGTGCTGTTGTTGTTGTTGGTGGTGGCAGTGGGTCGAGCAGCTCCCCCCACCCCCCAAAAGGCTCTGAGAGCTCCCTGTAATTGTACAAACCCAGCAAATGCCAACAAGGGTGGAGGGATACAGAAAAGCATCAATGCTTCCTGCTTAAAGAATGAGTTACCTGACGTCATTTCTAGGAGTTCATCTGACGAATAGGAATATAATGCATGGTTAATTTAGGAAAAGCGTTATCATTTGATCCTCAGAAAGAAACATTAAATAAGAAATCAAATGGAAGTCTAGGACATGAAAAGAAAAAGGGGGTAGGGGGTGGGGAAGAAAAGGAAGTATGGAAAAGGAGAGAAAAAAAAGATTATCAGGTAGAGATTTAAAAATCCCCAGTTCTAGGCCAAGAGGCGACCCCAGGCCCACGTGGACAGACACTGCCCTAGGAAAAGGGGACGCTGTATGAAAATGGAGCTGTCTCTTAGCGGGCCCTTGTTTTACATGAATGCTCCTTTATCAGAAATAATAGACGGATGGTTATTTCTGTCTCTTTTTATTTGTCTTTTTGCATTTTTTAACAAATAATTTTTGGTAGCTTGTCTGTTATAGTTTGACTCATAAAATAGCCTCCTAATTTGGTCTTGCACAGTTCAACGCCTCTGTCATCTGCACTCCCAGAGTCTGTTCCGCTTTCAAAAACCTGCCCTCATCAACTGCTAAAAAAACCTCTGATTACAAAAAAAACGTCCCTTCCCGGCTTCAAAACTCCCACGTGGTCTGTAAGGGCCCC